AGCAAAGTCACCTTAAAGAGGTCCTTCCAAATCAATACGATTGCTATTTACGATATAAATACATTAATGTAGCTATATTACCCCAGAATTTTGTACTCTGTCTATTGTAGATGAGTGTTTTTGGTGAAGATAGGGTATCAGGCCTTGGTTCGGGAACCAATCCCTCATTTATAACATTGTTTCTTATGAGAAAATTGGTTCCAAGTTACAACATTTCGACTTAAGACTTCCTGGTTTTCAGGAACCAATTGTGTTGTAAGTCCAAGGACCACCTGTAGACTGTTACTAGAACTTCAGTTACGTAAATAATGGGAAACAATCTTTAGCACTGCAGTTAGGGTTGTTATAATATTCCAGGGCAAAACTAATGGCAGTAGTGATTTTCTAGAAATGTTGTTCTGCTGCAAATCACACAGTAGTAGCTTTGTATATGTGAGTGGATGGGAAGTAACAATACATTGATGTGGTCCTTTAGTATGCTGAGTTTCTGGCTTAATCATAATATTAATCCTTGTTTTCAATGAACATTATAACTTCATAGAAAATGGGGAAAGCTTAAAATGCAGGCCCTCTTTTCAAAGGAGACTAAACAAACTGAATACAGCCTACATATTAAAGATATAGAAGAAGTATGCTGTGTTTCTGGCTTAATCATCATATCTTTAATATGTAGACTTCATTCAGTTTGTTTAGTCTCCCCTGAAAAGAGGGCCTGCATTTTAAGCTTTCCCCATTTTCTATGAAGTTATAATGTTCATTGAAAACAAGGTTTATTACCTCAGGAGAATGAAGGATTTCATCTGCACAAGTGCAGCTAATGCTCACTGCAAGGGAATTTCTCACCTTTACTGCCCCACTAAAATGTCTCCTCTGTGCTGTGGAAATCTGTCTCCTAAAACAGTGTGGCTCAGTTGCACTAAGCCACCAAATAGCAAGTTTTGGCAACAGCTTTCAGGAGTCAAAGTTCTCTGTTACTGCTCTCTGAAGCCAGCTTCCAAACATGAACCTTAATTTAAATCTTTCATAGACTGTTATAATATGGACCTTTCTTCTAATTGTCTAACTCCTCTTCTCTTTTCCCCTCAGTTGAATTTTGACTTGGATCGTGGTGTGTTCCCTGTGGTTATTCAAGCTGTTGTGGATGAAGGGGATGGTAAGCAAGATGCTTTTTCAGTGTTCTTTTCTTGCAAGCTCCTGATAGAGAGGGGCTTCTTCTGTCTATGAGGGTGTGCCTCATTTACCTGCACCAAGTGATCTTTCTTATGTTATAGCACAAACAAAGGCTCTGAATTTAGAACATATCAGTAACAAGCCTTAAACACCTGTGTTAAGGGGTAAAATCTCATTTAAGTGTGCTTTTAAATTTAGATGTCATTCTGAGAGGAAGGTTGGGGGGGTGTTAGGGGGCGGAGTAGGTGGGGGTCAAGAGACCTGGGTTCAGTGTGTGACTCTGCTACAGACTCTCTGACTGACTGTAGGCAAGTCACTTCATCTCTCTCTGGGCTTCTGTTCCCTAGCTGTGTTATGGGGAAAGTAATGGTTCCTTTTTGCTACTCTTTGTTTTGCTAGTTTAGGTTGTCTGTACAATGCCTGGTGCAGAAACCTTGATCTCAGTTTAGACTTCTAGGTGCTACCGTAAATACAGACCTTTAAAAATGTCATTCCTGTATCTAACACAGGGGCAGGCAAAATAGAGGCCATGGGCCAGATCTGGCCCACCAGATGATTTCATCTGGCTTGTGGGTGGGAGCCCACCAATTGATTGCATCTGGCCCAGTCAGCAGAGCCCCACTCACTCTTGCCAGGGCAGCAGGCTTCACTCCCACCTTTGTGTGGGAGGGTTCTGACCCTGGCTGGTACACTGGTTTTGAATGGAGCTGCTGCTGCCTCTGCTGCAGCAGCCCAAGGAACTGCTTGGCTCCCCCAACCTCCAGTAGATCCTCCTCCTGTCCCTGCTGCAGTATTCCCAGCAGCAGGTAGAGAAGCGGGTGCAAATGGGGGGGAAAACTGCAGCTGAGCGGGAGCACAGAGCTTGGGCTGGTGGGAGCACGTAGCCTAAGTTGGCCCATTTCTGGTGCACGGGACTCCCTGTGGCTCACATGCAGCTCCTGGGACTTGTGTGCCACTGGGGAGAAGCCCCACGCAATAGAGCTGGTGGCCTTCCCGTTCCATGCTGCCATGTGCAGCTCCCAGGACTCTGCCGAAAGCAGGGTGGATAAAAGTCAATGATTTTTTTTTTTTTTTAAATGAAAAAAAAATATTTTTTTCATTTAAATCAGATTTTTCATTTAATTATATTTTTTAACTTTTTTTTGTTAAGATGCTTTTTAAAAAAATCTAATATAATAGAGCAGGGGCTGAGGTGAGTGGGGCCTTGGTGAAGCCGGATGGTGGGAGGATCAGAGCCTTGGTGGCTCGTCTAGGGGCACAAGGGTCTCCCGCTACTGTGCGCACCCTGGTGGAGGCCTGGGGGGGCACATGCTATCCCAATCTGTGCACAGTGTGTAGGCATTTGCTGCACTCTGTGCTTTGAGCCCTGAGCCCCACCATAGCTGCCCCGGGAGTGGTGCAACGCCATGTACATCCCAGTGCTGGGTGGGCAGGGGGCAAGGCTCAGCTCAGCAGTGGGACACGTGTGGTGTTTGGCCACTCCCAGGCCAGCTGCAGCAGGGCTCGAGGCGCAAACTCAGTGTGAAGCAGCAACTGCCTCTGCCACATGCACAGATCAGGGGGAGACACGCCAAACGCGGGGCAGTGTGGGCGGCTGTAGCAGCAGTGAGGGAGGGAGTGGGGCTGGGACAGGGGCAGGCACTGCACAGCCGGGGCAGGGCGCAGGACGGAGCCGCAAGTGGATCTATCTGGGGGGTGTGAGGAGGTGGGGGGCATGCACCATGGAGGATGTGTGCCCCCGAATGTGCACGTGAGTCTGCTGCTGTAGGCTGGGGCTGGGGAGCAGAACTGGGCTCTTCCTGGGGGTGTTGTTCCGGGCCGCACTCAGGGTGGGTGATGGTGCTGGGAGGGGGGACAGGGTGCTGCAGTCACCCAAAAATTTGCCATAGCCCCCCAAGCCCCACTCCCAGCATTGCCACTGCCCACTCTGAGTACAGCCCAGCCCCTCTGTTGGGAAGAGCCTGGCACTGCCCCCCAGTCCCAGCCTGCAGTGGCAGCCCACTGTCCTCCCGCGTGCAGATCCCGGGCACACAGCCTTCATGTGGTGTGCCCTCTCCCTCCCTGCCTTAGGCACCCCCTGGACAAGCCGCTAACACCTCCTCCATCCTGCACCCCACCAAGGCTGTGCAGGGCCTGCCTCTGTCCCAGCACCACTCCCTCCCTCCCTCACTGCTGTGGAGGGCGGGGGCAGATCAAGACCCCAGTGGTGAGGGAGGGAGTGGGGCACAAGCAGGAGCAGGGGCTGGGGTGAGTGGAGCCCTGGCTGGGCTGGGCTGGGCTGGGTGGTGAGACAAACAGAGGCCCGAGGGGCATGTGCCCCCCAATCTGTGTGTGGGGTGGAGGCGTCTGCCGCTGCGTGCTGGCCTTTGCTCCCTGCTGCAGCAGCCCCACGCCCCCTGTTTGCCTGGTGATGCGTGTGGCATCGCGCAGCTCTCAGGGCAGCAGGGCTCAAAGCCCAGCATGCAGTGGCAACTGCCTCTGCTCCTTGTACAGAACAGGGGGAACACATGCCTCCTAGGCCTCTGCCTGTCCCATCATCTGGCCCAGCTTGGGCCCCACTCACCCC